GATTCGACCCTTATGACATGGTGCATTATCTTGTTGGTAAACACCATCTCCTGCAGGAAAAACTGTTGCCATGAATGGGTGAACCTGGTCTGCAACTATGTTCAAGTAGCTTACAGAAGTCAGGGATTGTTCTATGAGGATTATGGGTCCTAATGTGCCCCATGAAAACATTGTTCCTGGGCGAGAAACCATGAAAACCTGGGTGAGCCCATTGTTATAGATGGAGGGTGGTCATAATGTAATGGCTCTTCGTTGTATATACACGGTGAAAATGCGTCGAGTAATTCAACATCGAAAATCTTGTCAACTACGTTACACCAAAACGGGCGTTGAAAAACATTTAAAATAATTCTTGGAATAATCAAACACCAAGAACAGTTCTTGGATCAATTCTTGGAGTAGGGCAACAATTATATTCTCATATATTACTTTTGGTGCAAAGAAGTTGACACCATTTTTTGGTATTTTGTAATACTAAAATTTATGTGATGCTCTTAAGAGCCGGAAAAGTTTTTTTTTTTACTTAACAATTTAAAGTAAAAAAAATTAGCTTATAAGTCCTACTATAAAATTATTTTGTAAATCAAATATACACATTGTACTAATAGAGTTTTAAGACGAATAAAAACTAGGCTTAACGGATAAGAAAAGAATACAAATTAAATAATATAAACTCATTTAATACCATTGGATACTTGCAATTCCGGAAGAAGAATACTTCTGAAATCCTTTGGATTTGCCAAATCACGTCCTTGTGCATGTGGGGTAACGTTGCAACTATTAAGCTTGGTTTATTTCCATGCTAAATCAATTTTTGGATCAGATTTAATTGGATACCTGCAAAGCTACGTCAAGTGTGAGAGTCGAATCGGATTGGTTGCTGAATTGTGGCATAAACAAAGGCCACGATTTACCAAAGCTTGATTCTGCTGACAGGTTACATGAAAGAAGCAGAATTTTTATTAGTTTAGTAATTATAATAATATTTTATAAGTAATTATATATTATTTGCGTAATAATATTTACCGATCAGCACCAAATTTGGTGTAAAACATTCGAAGACACAGTAAATCAAACTGTCTACTTTAAAACAATCTGTGTGATGCCACAATTGGCATTACATATTTATTTCCTACATTTTAAAATATCTTTAATTACTTAAACTTATTTTATTAATCGAATTATATTTCAATTAAATTAAAGAGCTAATTTTTTAAAGCGAGCATAAAATATTTTATTCTTTTCTTATCGATCAATGTAATGGCTAACTTTTAATTCAATATAATGACTCATTAATTCACAGCCGCACCTAATCTAAAACAAAAATCTATTTATAACTTTTTAATTCTAAAATTTCTTACCGCAAATATATTTCAGTTACATGGTTGTAATAATTCTCACTGTTTTGTTGGCGACTCGTGATCGCAGAAGTATTTTTAAACCCAATATTGATTATGCGGGGTTGGCTTTGTATTTACTATGTTATATTTTGATAAATCGCCAATTTTGGATCTCCTATCCATGCTTCTCCTGCGTCCGTTGGGAACAATTGCATTCACTTTCAATTTAAAATTTGTGGTGACTGGGAGTGCTCTTTGGGCACTCCAGTCCCAGCCGTCCTTACCGTTTAAAAAAATATCTTTTTAATAAGTATGCTAACTCTTGATCCACTATATGGCATTAACCACTATTGACGATCACCTTCACGATACACTGGTTCTTGTGGTTCGTTCCAATAAAAATGTTCTTGATAAACATTTTATAATGTAAGATATTTGCTAGCTTTTAGATCTTGCAGTAACTTGCAGCTACTCAAATATCAGTTTTATTGCATAGTCTATGGATTATCGTTGGTTTCCTTTGTTAGACTGTCACAAGTAAAATAAATGTTAATAATTTCACAACTTATTCTCATGATGTCAGCGAAATTGTTTTAAAAGGCATATGAAAAAAAACGTATTTTACCTCATATTTTCGAACATATATAAAACCACGTGCTTTTAGATTAATAATTTCACTTCGAAAACGGTTTTCTAAAAACTAAAGGGACTATTAACAAGGGCTAAGCTTATCTAAGATCTATGTACAGTGCCCTAAAAAAATGGACCACCGAGAATAACTTTTGATCTAATTATTGCATCTGCGCATTCTAGGATTAAATTTTGATAGTTCAAGAGAGTGACCTTAAATATACTAATTAATAACAATAATTTCAGACGATAATTTAAATTACGAAATCAGACACAAATATAACTATAAAACGTAAAAGCTCGAACTGATAAAAGAATATTTGCTTAGTAATCTGATTTCTTTTTAACTGCTGCTTTATCAATTGATATTAAAAGCTTCAAGAAAAAAAACCACTTTTACAAATTCAAAATCATGAGTAAAAATAATTTTATAATCTGATATTTTCTTAGAAAGATAAAAAAGAAATACGAAATTAATTACAAAGTGCGGTGGCGAAATTTTCGGAACTTTTTATTGTGACTTTAGCTGTAATCAACAGGTGCTTTTTTAATTATCAGACATTGATTAGAACTTTCTTGGAAATCCTATCGGTTTTTCCTGATTGGGAAATAAATTATTTAAATGAAGAAAAAAGAGGTATACTCAATAAAATGATTATCGCGAATTGCTTTATCAAATTTGTTACTATGCCTCATAATACCACATTACAGGTTATTTGTTGTTTTCAAACTTATTTGACGAAATAGGACTTGTTATATTTGAATACACTCGTCATTTCTTATATCGAATCTTAAATTTATGAGCAGTAAACACAAAACAGGAAGATCTGACCTTAAAGAACGTTTGTCCAAATACAAATTTTTCATATTTAAACATTTACAGGGAGAAAAAAATTCTAGTAAAATTACCGTAGACGTTTATGGTTGAAAAAGCAAACAAACATAGTTCTAGTTAATAAAACCATAAGTTTGGGTTGAAAATAAAACTACTTTTTTGTCAATATTTCCGGTGCATTTGGTAAAGATTTACAGGAAATTAGGTTTCTTTAAATTATTGTTCTTATTAACACACGTTTTGCAAAAAATAATAAATGGAAAAATAAATTTAACCGAATAAATGATTTTTAAGCAATTTTCTCAGGCGTCATGATAAAATTAGTAAATTTTATCACATTTTATCACCTATTATAAAACCATATTTCATTGTTAATTTTAAGAAATTATTATCTAAGCATTTCGGTAAAAATTACTGAGCTTTCTGATGTTCTCATAGTGCTAGAAACACTATCTCTACGAGTATTATTCTAATAGTTTTGACAATACTCTTTTTCCTTTATGTATTTGGATAATAAACC